CAAGATTATCTTCTGTGTCTGTGTTAATTGGTTTCCCTTTTCTTTGTTGAAGAGGGTCTGTGCAATCCTTCTGCCTAGTCCGCCATCTTCGCTTAGTTTAGTTTTCAGGAAATTGAAAGACTATCCAGAAAATAAAAGACTCGGTTGCTAATATTTCAGGACAAAATACAGTACAAGCCATCGCGAGTTGCTGACAAAGTACTCAACAGTCTCATCTGACAACTGCAATAACTTCTCTACAGCATGACAATTTTATTTCCCAGTGATTCCCACATTACCTTAGAAGCAGAAAAGGCAGCCAGCTGGGGAGTGGGCTTGCAGCAGGAGCCGGAAGAGATGGTGACAATTGCACCTTTCTTTCTCTCCACCATTCCTGGTAACACGATGTGGACCATCACACTGGCCGCGGCCATGTTGACATTAATGATGTCCCAAAGCGTGTCCTCGGAGACCTGAGTGAAATACTGGGGGTAGGGGTAGAACGCAGCCACGTTGTTCACCAAGATGCCAACCTCTTTGTCTTTCAGGGCTTCTCGAATCAGGACGTAGATCTCACGGCCACTGCTGAAGTCTGCAACTATAACATCGGTTTCCACTCTGTAGGTGTCAGCTATGTCTTTAGCAACAACTTGCAACTTCTCTCTGTTCCGACTGATCAGGACAATATTGAGACCGTGGCTCGCGAGCTCTTCGGCATAGGCTTTTCCAATCCCATCAGTGGCACCTGCAACACAAGGTGGCAAGCAAGCATGCTCATTTCACAGGGTGACCTTCCCCATGGATCTGAAAGTCAAGTTCTCATGGAATCCAGACTTTCTGGAGCAATGGAAGCCAGACAGATCCCCACAATGAATCAATCCCGAGATACTCTTTAAACCATACACCAAAAATCCCCCCTGAAGTCTTCTTAAAACCAAACAGTATTGAGCTCAACCAGAGAGAATGTGAGCCTTGGGCACTGCGCTCTTCTAACTTCTCTCCAACGGGGCTCAAACTGACAACAGCAACTGGAAAGATCAGAGAGGAAACTAGAGGCCAGTGAGTTACGTCACTGGGGGAGAAAGAACGCAGAAAAGGAGGGGAGAGTGGTTATACAACTCAGAGAATATAATGATCAGTGTCACTGAGCTTACTTACACACAGAAACTGAATTGACGTGCGGTCTGTGTACATTCGCAACAACAAGAACAAACTGTTAAAAAAATAAAGGATCTGAAATAGCTCATTTCCATGTTTAATCAGAAAAACTGCACACTCCAAATATACTCAGCTTTAATGTGTACCAGTCAAGGACAACAATGCTGAATCGGTGAGATGAATGATGAAAACCAGCTGCCATCAGGTTGATGCCAACTCACAGCAGCCCGTGGGTGTCAGCAGAGGTGGCCCCGCACTTCTCGGGGGTGACCTTTCGGAAAGAGAGTACCAGGCCTTCCTCCCAAGGCTCCTCTGGCAGGACTGGCACCTCCAGCCTTCAGTCAGCAGCCAAGCATGTCGACCACGCGTACCACCCCGTGACTGACAGACACCCAGACAGACGAGCGCACCACCTAGTGACTGCCAGACGCTGGTGAAACATCTCCCAGATACCCAGAGAGATGACACGCGAAGAAGGTTTCACCTTCACCAAGCAAACAGGATGCCCAGGAGAGAGCTGCTTCCAAACTCGAATCTGGCAAGAACGTGTGCCAGGAGGTCCTTTCTGGGGAAACCACCATAACCTAAAATGATACCTGAAATTGGGGAAGCATTTCTGACGATGGTGGTGGTGTCCAAGGACAATCTCAAAACAGCAAAAAAGAGAAAAAGAAAAAGGGAGGGGCTGCAGTTGTTGTTGTTACGTGCCATCAAGTTGGACCCGACTCATAGCGACCCCTCCTTGGGTTTCTGAGGTGGAATCACTACAGAAGTAGATTGCCCCATCTTCCTTCCAAGGAGTGGCTGGTGGGTTTGAACCACCAGCCCTCTGGTTAGCAATCAGATGCCTTAGACACTACTCTACCAGAGAGGCTGGAGAGGACTGGGAATAGGAGGGGGCGGGACAAGGACAGTCACGGGGAAAACTGTTCCAACGATGAGGGCAGGAAGGCAACATGGGCACGACCACGACAGGAGCATTACGTTCTGTCTTCTCAATCACCCACTCCCGTAAAGACATCACATTATATCCCAAAGCTCTCTGAATAATGCATCGGACTCAAAACCCAACTTGAACAGAAAAGATGATTTTGGCTCTAAGCCAGGCGAGAACTGCCATGTCCTTTCTTACCACTGACGACAGCCCATCTCCCGTACTGCTTGATCAGGTCCGCTCTGCTCACCAGGCGAGGGATGAAATGCAGCCTGACGAGGCTGTAGAAGTCACAGACGACGGTGATGCTCTTTCTGGCCGTATACCAGGCTCCGACCAAAGCTAAGGCTTCCATATAGCAGTTGCAAGACCGGGCGATCTCCCTATACAACAGGTAGAAGCTGTCCACGGCGGCCATGGTGACAGCAACCTGGAGGCAAGGAAAAGAGAGGTGGTTTCCTTAGGGGGTTAAACGAGCACACAAGTTTGAGTTAAGGAAGGCAACGAGGGACATGGGAACCTGACATGATTCGGAATGCTAATATCAGAAACTTTACAAATGCCTGATTTTTAGATCCAAAACAAACACCAAACCTGGTGCCATCAAGTTGATTCTGACTCACAGCAACCCTACAGCGTAGAGTGGAACTGCCCCAGAGGTTTCCAAGGCTGAAATCTTTCTTTCTTTATTGGGGGGGTGGGGGTGAAACTTTACAGAGCAAATTCGTTGACTGCAATCCCCATAAGGTAACAGCTCTCTTCCCACTTCCTCCCTGTGGTTACCTTTTCCCTGCGTCCTTCTCTCCTATGTATTCCTGCCTTCTGAGGCATCTCCCTGGGAAATGCTGCCCTTCTGATCTCTCATAGTTGACTGTTCTAAGGAGTGCCTCTGCCTGGTGTAAATGTTCACCTTGTAAGCCTGTCTACTGTGTGACTGGAAACCAGAAAGGGAGTTCAATTCCAGGCCTGAAGAGTGACTCAGGACCATAGTCTTGGGAGTTTCACCAGGCTCTGTCAGACTAATACGCCTGGTCTTTTTTATGATTGAGTTTTGTTCCACATTTTTCTCCCATTCTATCCAGGATATCTGATACTGATTCCTTTCTGAGCAGTCAACAGTGGTAGCCGTACACCACCTAGTTCTAGTCTCAGGGTCCTGTAGGCTGAGGTTTGCATGGTCTACCTTGGACGGACTAACTGTTTCCATGGGTCTTTGATTTTCTTCACTGTTCTTTGCTCTGGATGAGGAGAGACCAACTGGTGCATCTTAGACAGCTGCTCAGAAGCTTTTAATATCCCAGTCGCTACTTAACACAGTAGGATGTTGCACAATGATTCTGTGTGGGTTAAGGCAACTGACCAAGACTGAAGTCTTCACAGATGTAGACTGCCACCTCTCTCTCCCTTCGGAACAGCTGGTAGGTTTGAACCCCCAATCTTTCGGTTAGCAGGCGAGCACTTAACCACTACACATCCCCCCCCCGGGGCTCCTCAGCTTGTAGGTCCAGTCAACTCATTATCCTATGACTGTAGCTTAGAAAGTGCTTTTCTTCCAAGGAGATTACTCAGCGTAACTACCATGAGTTACCAAATTCCTACTAAGATCCAACTCCTGTAGGCATGTTGTGAATACAGAGATAAACACAATATGCCGTGTGCCCTAAAGAAGCTGCTGGTTCCGTGTGTGACTGGCATGGACTACTTCATTCCCATCCCTGCAGCGGTATGTTCATCCTCAGCTGTATTTACCACCAGCAAGAGCAGAGGACCTGCCACGTGTGCAGAGACGAACAGAAGAAACAGGTACATTAAGACACGGCCTTACAGCTCACTTGAGGCCAAAACCAGCTTGAATAAATGGGAACCTAAATTTAAAATGTGCACTAAAAAGACCCCAAAGCAAGATCTCCCTTTAAATATTCTAAGAACCAAACAAAAGTTCAACTTAACAAGGAGAAAATGTCTGCCTTGAGCATTAAGCTCTTTTCAGATCTATCTACATGGGTCAAAGTGACAGCAGCCCCTGACACGATGAGACAAGAACCTCAGGAGGCAGTGAGTTCACGTTAACAAAGGAGGAACAAGTCAGACAGGAGGGTGAGAGCTGCACGGCTCGTGGAACGCAGCCAGCACCACCGCAACAGCGTACACATACAAACGGCTGACTTGGTGTTCTGCAGGGTATATTCTTCACAACAACACATAAACTAGTTTTTAAAAGAGAGATACCCCCAAAACTGAAGAAACGGTTTTCTCAAATGACCACAGAATGCCACGCCGCCACCTGACTGACTCCCTTTGTTACCTCTGCTTGGCTCCTGAAGATTAAGGAAAGTCCAGTACAGCTCAAACAAGCGTCCATGGAGTGCTTCCTGTGCTCCAAGTACAGTGACAGCAGATCGGATTCAGAGGTAAATTAAAGAACTATGCCAAGGTAAAGACGCAGACATGGGACAAAGTGATTAAATGTGCCTTATGAACTAGGTGTGCATTCGTGTGTGTGTGTGTGTGTGTGTCCAATTCCTGTTGAATCATTTCCAACTTGTAGTGACCCTATAGGACTGAGACTGAGTAGAACTGCCCCATATGGTGTCCAAGGCTGTAATTTTTTTCATTTGTTTACTTATGTTTTATTGATTATGCAAAAGTACTCAATTGTGTGAATCATAACAAATTATAGATAACATTGAGAAGAATGGGAATTCCAGAAGACTTAATTGTACTCATGAGGAACCTGTACATAGATCAATCAGGAGGCTGTCATTCACACAGAACAAGGGGATACTTCCTGGTTTAAAATTAGGAAGGGAGTGTGTCAGGGTGGCATCCTTTCACCATACTTACTCAATTTGTATGCTAAGCAAATACTCCAAGAAGGTGGATTGCATGAGGAAGAATGTGACATTAGGATTGGAGGAAGACTCAATGACAACCCGCAGTACACAGGTGACACAATTTTGCTTGCCAAAAGTGAAGATGACCTGAAGCACTTACTGATAAAGACCAAAGACTCCAGTCTGCAATATGTATTAAACAAACAAACAAACAAAAAACCTCACTGCCATTGAGTCAGTCCTGACTCATAGAGACCCCTCCTTGGGTTTCTGAGGCAGTATCTCTATGGAAGTAGATTGCCCAGTCTTCCTTCTGAGGAGTGGCTGGTGGGTTTGAACCACCAGCCTTCTGGTTAGCAGTCAAATGCAAGGCTGTAATTTTTATGGGGCAGTTCCACTGTTCTATAGGGTTACTATGAGTCAGAACTGACTCAATGGCAGTGGGTTTGGGTTTAACGTTTATGGACGCAGACTGCCTCATCCTTCCCCCATGAAGTGGCTGGTGGGTTCAAACCACCAACCTTTTCGTTAGCAGCCAGGTACTTAACCACTGTGCTACCAGGGCTCCTCATATGTGTGTATGTTTACATATGTGTATGTATATATACATAGACATACATGTCTGTGTGCACGTGTGCATGTGTAAAATCTATGTATATCTTTATATACATGCATACATATATATACATGTGTGTATGTATATACATATGTATAGTGTGTGTGTGTAAGCATGTACATGTACCCATAAATGTGCATATATGTATATACGCATGTCTACGTGTGCATGTGTGTATGTGTCTGTGCATGCATGTTCACATATATCTATGTGTGCATATATGTATGTGTGCATGCATGTATGTGTACGTGTGCGTAATATGTATGCATGTATGTGTAGGTATATACAAATGTACACTTACATATATCTGTATATACGTCCATATATGCATATACGTACGTGTATGTCTGTATATGTGTGTGTATATGTACATGTGCACATTTACATATATCTGTATACGTGCACATATGCATATATGTACATGTATGTATGTATGGGTATGTGTGCATACATATGTATATATACATGTACACCTGTACACTTACGTATACCTGTATATATGTGCATCTATGTATATACGTACATGTAAGCACATATATTTGTATGTGTATGCATGTATGGGTATGTATGCACATGTACGTGTATGTATGTCTATGTATCTCTGCTGTAATCAGAGACAACCCTGCCAAGGTAGACAGGCCAGGGCACAGGGCCCTGAAGCAGGACTGAGCAAGCACACCTTCATCCCAGACTCAAGAGAAGCTGCAGCCTGCTCCACCAACACACTATGGAGGAGAGACAGGATATCAGAAGGATCAGGACAAATGAAATTATGAGGAGCTGACCTACACCCTAACACGAGGAGGCCACATTTATTATGTAAAAGAAAGTTGATTTGAAGCCAAAAAAGATGAAATGTAAAACTTTCAGGAGTGTCTCCTCTTACAGAATCTCATTAAAATACGTACCAAAAAGCAGCCTTTAACTCAGACAGTACCCTACAACAACGCAAAAATGGACACGCCTTCAGGAAGAGTAAGTGAGTCCCCTCCTGCTCCACTGCAATGTCCTGAGTGCAACCAGACACAGGCTGGGGCAGCAGGCTCACCATGACCGCAGATGGTACACGCGGTCCAAACTACACACCAACAGAGCCCACCAAAGCAGTAGACAGAGAACTGACAGGTGCGTCTGCAGGGACTGCCACACATCCTCACGACAAGGAGAGAGCGCACACGCAGGGAGGCTTTCACACTGCTACCAGATCAGCAATGAGGCTGCTATGCATTCACGGATTCCTTAACCCAAGAAGTGTACCTCTCACGTAGCAACACAGAAAGGGGCTGAAGTTAGGCCGCCTTATCTCCTGTAGGTAAAATACTGAACCCTGGGGTTCTTTTCATAGAAATTCATCTCCCATAATTAAAAAAACACCAAACTTGATCGTGAAAAGAAAACACTGTCAATGCTGATTTAGCACATAAACATAAAAGCAGGAAGCAAATGCCCTTAGGGATACTGTTTCTTTGTGGAACAAACTGGCTGGGGTTTCCTATGGGGGGACCTCTGGAGTGAAGACAGCACTCTCCTCATCAAGTCCCCCAGGCAGCTGGCAGACGCTCCTCTGCTGCCAACTCCTCGGAAATCGCCCTCAAAGGGCAGCCCAGCGTCCCCAGAGCAGCCCTTCTCCTTTGCTCCTCACGAAAGCCTCTCAAGATTGTGAAGTACCAGGGACAGGGAGGTCCAGACTCCACCCACCCTTCCAGCCGCCCATGCTCTGCCCTCTCCACCAATCAACCCATCCCCAGGACTCAGGTGGACATGCCCACTGACCAGCTGGCTGTCAAGAGGGCTCAACAGCCTCTCAAAGAAATGATCGAAATACTCACTTCTTATAAGAAAGGACATACACGCCACAGTTCCATGCCAAACCATCATAAGGTGGGATTCCTGAGACACCTTTTTAAAAGTGTGCATGTATATGCCTCTTGTCAGGACTAATCAAATGCAAGGCTATGAGCGAACTAA